CGTTTGTTTGTGTGTACCTATTTGTCACGTGATTCGAAACACAAACACACATCCCGGTTAGCCAAGCTGTTGAACATACAACAGAAGATTCTTAACGTGCGTGTTGTGTAAATACACGCTGATTGAAGTAAAATTGTATATGAATATGAAATGGTATGTATTTGTGCGCAAATTTGACAGTAATTTTACTAGTAAGTATATGACCTTTTTTTTTTTATCTCAGCTAATACAATATATACGTCATATCTTATCTTCTCTGAATCGTGAAAACTCTATATGTAAACTTAATCATTTTAACCAAAATCATCAACAAAAAGCATATTCGGATTGGAATTTCAAGCGAATCAAGTTCGACTTGTCGTGAAATCCAAAGTTTCGCTGTGAAAGCAGAATTGATGGAAACTTGAAGTGGCGAAATATTTTCGAAAAAATGTGCACATTATCACCGATATTCAAGCAGTTCTTAACAATAGTTATTTGTGAGTGTGGCGTAATTGAAACATCATTGTGTTTGCTTGACAACTAGAAAATTGATTTTTTATAGGGAAAACTTTGTTCCACCATTTGGCAGGTTTCGAAAAGAAAAATTAAAAACACCATTATTGATTCAACCAAAGCAGCTTTCATGAGTCAGATTTTGAATACATTTCAACCAGTCATGTACGCATAAATTCTGAAATGTGGTGGTACCGAGAAGCGATGTGAGTCTGTGTGTATGTAAATCGGCTGTTTTGCAAAACAATACACTTTTGTCGGCTTTGAGTGCTGTTGTGTCTTTGTGAATGTATAATGTCATGCGCCGTACAAGCGTACATTATCGATTTGTAGTGGTAAATGTTGTTTTCATTATCTTCCCCACGTGCGTGCCCTGCAACAGCTGATTTTCTCGGTTTGTTGGCTTTATCAATCGATTTGTTTCGTGACAGCAAAGTCGTTGAGTCCGAGATGCGGTGCTTTTGACTCAATAATGGTGTTTTTAATTTTTGTTTTTGTCAAACTATCTATTAAATTTCGAGGGTTAACGTATTTATTCCAAATAAAAACCTAATCACTTTTTAACTAATTTTGATGCAAGATGAAGCTTAAAACAAATTTATCTTTCAGAAAAATTAATGTACTAGAGGGTAGAATTATTAAAATCACATATTGCTCTCCATCTTTTATCGGTAAAATACTTCATATGGTGGCCCAAATACGCTGATTTTTTTCGGCAAAGGTAATTTATTGACATTCTCATCTGGCAATGCATCCGGATGGACGACAATCAACTTTGTCGAGCTTCAAAGTGAAAAAAGCACCTTCCCAGCAGGTCCTTTGAAGTTGAAAGAGGCGTCACTTGTTATATCAATAGTTAGCCTTGGAGCTTGTGCCGGTAATTTTGTGGCATTGCCGATAATACACAGATTCGGGATTAAACGAACAATTCATATATGTGGAGTGCCGATTATTGTAAGAGACTCAATTAGACCAAGAGACAAATATGAAGCGAGTCAAAAATAATTATGTGTTTTTCATTTTAGCTGAGCACTTTACTCATAATTTGGGCAAAAAATGTGTATTATCTCTACGTTTCGAGACTATTGTGCGGATTAAGCATCGGCATCTTAGTAGTTGCACTACCATCAATGGTCATGGCTGTTTCAGACGACAAGTAAGATCAATCTGAAATGTTTTTAATAGTATCTGTTCCATAGTAATGTGTGTTGTCCATTAATACAGGGTGCGTGGAAGTCTGAATGCATTGTTTGACCTATTTTCCAATACAGGAGTAATTTTGTCATTTTCCCTCGGAAACTACTTGAGTTGGATGGATCAAGCGAAAGTGCAATTGATTCCACCCACTATTGCAATAATTATACTCTTTTTCTTGCCTGAATCGCCGGAATATTGGATTAAACGAAATAAGGAAAAGGTGAAATCAAAGGATTCTTCAACGTTTCCAACCTCATTTAAGGTTTATAAAATAAATGTGAATTTTAGCGAGCGATTAAAGCGCATAAATTCTACAAAGGAAGTATCGTAGCTCTGGAACAGGCCGAATATCTTCAAAAGTTAAATGAGGAAAATGTTGAAAGGGAAAACGACAATGAAATTAAATCCAATCCGAAATTGTGCCTTCGAGATTTTCGTAATTATTTCAGCAATTTTAAGGATGACTTTTTTTCAATGCTATTACCATAATTATATTCTTCTTCTTCAATTTAGTAACACCACAAGCGAAGAGAGCATACTTCATTGCGTTCACTGGATTTGTATTGAACTACTGTAGTGGGACTATTCTGATTCTCAGCTATGTGACCGATATATTTACGAAAACCGGCTCCTCTTTGTCACCGAAACAATCCTCAATTTTGATTTCCGTCACTCAAATTACAACAAATATCATTTTCGTAAATCTGGTTGACCGATTCAATCGAAGAGTTTGTAGTATTTTTTGCATTATCATTGTACAGTCAGCGATCATTATATTTTGTATTCATTACAGACGCTGTTGATTTGCTCGTCGATATTAGCTACAATCACTTTCTTTGTGTATGCCGCTTGGTTTTGTGTATGCCGCTTGCTATTGTTTGCTTTGGATGAATCAATCCGAATATCAGTGGATTTCTTTGGTTCCAACCGTGTGCTTTGTATTGATCATTTTCTTCAGCTTGATGGGACAGTTTCCCATACCTTTTATTGTCATGACTGAAATATTTCCAAAAAAGGTATCGAAATTTGCGTGATTTGACTCATTCAGTGTTTTGATTGGAGATTTTCTTTCTTTCATTATATAGATACGACAGTCATCTCTTGCACTAGCCAATTCATTTTT